GTGCCGGCGGCTCAAAACAAACAGGCGGATGCTTTGTCGCGCAAGCCGGAGTATACTCGGGGTCAAGAAGATCCCTCAGAGTCCTGCATTTTGCGCCCAGAGAACTTTGCGCTCGCCGGAGTATCGGGACTCCCTTCGACTCTGGCGGAAAGGATCCGAGCGCGGCAGCAAGAGGACTTGTGGGTGCAAGAGCAACTGGAGGCCGGACTAAAGTTTCCTTTTCAAGAGTTGGATGGGGTGCTGTGTCATCGTTCAAAGGTCTATGTGCCGGCCGGTCCCGAGCGGGAGGAAATTTTAAAGCTTTGTCATGACACCAAGCCAGCAGGGCATTTCGGGATCTTTAAAACAATGCAGTTGGTGCTGAGAGACTTTTGGTGGCCCAAGATTCGGCAAGAGYTTGAGAAATATGTCAATGGGTGCCCTGTTTGTCACCGTGCTAAGAACTCTATGGGCAAGCCGGCTGGTTTGCTACAACCTTTGCCCACTCCGAGTCGGCCCTGGGAAATCGTGTCGGCCGACTTCATCACGGATTTGCCAGAATCTCAAGGTTTCACCACCATTTTGGTAGTGGTGGATCTCTTCACCAAGATGGGACATTTCATTCCCTGTGTGGGAGTGCCTACCGCTAAAGAGACTGCCGATCTGTTCCTGGGTCACATCTTCCGTCTTCATGGACTGCCATCGAGTTTGGTGACCGATCGTGGTGCCCAATTTACCTCGCATTTTTGGAAGGAGATTCAGCGGCAGTTAGGCATCGAGAGTCGAATGTCGTCTGCACACCATCCACAATCCGATGGCCAGACCGAAAAGACCAACGCCACCCTTGAGCAATATTTGAGATGTTTTGTGAACTATCAACAGGACAATTGGTCATCGCTTCTTGCTGTAGCAGAGTTCGCTTATAACAATGCCGCTCACGGGTCGACCAAGGAAGCTCCGTTTTTTGCTAACTATGGATATCACCCCCGGTTCTTTCCTTCACTGGTGAGCTCAGGAGAGGTCCCTGCCGCTACCACTTGGCTGCAGGAACTCTCAGCGATTCAAGAGATTTTAAAGGCTCAACTGGAGCAAGCCAAAGAGGATTACAAACGAGTGGCAGATACTCATCGGCAGCCGGGTCCATCGATCCAAGTGGGAGATCGAGTTTGGCTGTCCACCAAACATTTGCCTATACAACGTCCCTCTCGAAAGCTTGACGCTCGTTTTGTGGGACCATACCTAGTGGTGGAACAATTGAATCCTGTGACCTTTAAGTTAAAGCTTCCGCGTGGCTTGCGGATTCATCCTGTTTTTCATCGATCGTTGCTCAAGCCCGCCACGGAAGTCCGGCCGGATGCTGGCGGGGCCCCTCCACCGCCCCRGATTTTACTTGATGGAGAAGAGGAATTTGAGGTGGCGGACATTTTGGACTCTCGCCGTTATCATCGCAAGTTGCAATACTTGGTGGATTGGGTGGGATATGGTCCTGAAGAGCGCTGTTGGGTAGATGCTCGAGATGTTCATGCTCCT